TTCCCTCCAACCTTCCCCTCCAGCCCTGAGCCTCCAACCCTGACCCTCCCCCGTTCCCTCCAACCCTCCTCCTCCAGCCCCGACCATCCCCCTTCCCTCCAACACTCCCCCTTCAGCCCTGAGCCTCCAGCCCTGACCATCCCCCTTCCCTCCAGCCCTCCCCCTCCAGCCCTGACTGTCCCCCCTTCCCTCCAACCCTCCACCTCCAGCCCTGACCCTTCCCCTTCACTCCAACCCTCCCCCTCCAGCCCTGACCCTCCCCCTTCCCTCCAACCCTCCACCTGGCTGCCCATCACCACCCCTACCCCCATGCGGAGCGAGTGCAAGGAATGCAAAGGGCCACGGGTCTGGCCCGGTGAATGGGCCCATGTCACAGGCATGGAGACCCAGCCCAGAAATGCTCCCCCTGAGCCCACACAGGCACCTCGTGTCCCCTTCCATCCCAGCCTGCGCTTCTGGCCTTAACCCCCGTCCCTCTCCACAGGTGCTGGCGTCGCACCTGGAGTCGGCGGGGTGCCAGGCTTAGTGCCTGGGGCCGGTAGGGTGCCAGTCGCTACGCCGGGGGCTGGCGGGGTGCCAGTTGTAACGCCGGGGACTGGGGGCTTTGTGCCCGGTGCGGGAAGAGTGCCAGGCACAGGCATTGTACCTGGAGTAGGTAAGTGCATATCCTGTCACTCAGGGTGCTGGTTCCAATGGGATGCCCCTCGGAGGGTATCTCCTGGGCACTGGGGCAGCTCGGGCATTGGAGCACCAGGAGGGTTGGGCCCTGCTGTGAGTAGTAGCAGGTGGCTTTGAATGTGAAAAGCAGAACAGTCACCCATGCGCCATCTGTCCCCTGAAGCCAAGTAGGGCGGGTTGGCGATGGACGGGCACCGGGCGCATGTGGCTCCTGACTCTAACTCAATGCTCTTCTCACTCTGCAGGGATTCCCCAGCTGGGCGTGCAGCCAGGCGCCAAGCCTCCCAAGTACGGTAGGCACCTTCCCACCTTGGCTCAGCCAATGGCTCTTCTCTGCCCTCCACCAACTGTGGCCCATCCTGCCCACTTTTCCCCTGTGCCCTCTGTGTGGAGGGCTGAGGAGCTGTCCTGTCGCTCAGCGCAGACAGCCAGAGCCAGCCACCTGTCTCTGCAGACTGACAGCAACTTCTGGCTGGAGCCGCCGACATCCACCCTGGGGACCCTGTCTCCACCCACCGGCCTTGGCTTTGAAACTCTGCCCCTCTCTTGCCCTGCACTGCCCCTCTGGGGAGCTAGGGCCTCCAGAGCCTAGGCCAGATCCAGCAAAGGCATCTTCCCCATAGCCACTGCTCCTGCCCTGTTCCACACCCCTCTTCTATTGAGGGGAACGGGGACGACATAACATAAGAACGGCCACACTGGGTGTAGCCCAATATCCTGTCTTCCGACAACAGCCAATGCCAGGTGCTTCAAAGGGAATGAACAGAACAGGGCAGTTTACTGAGTGATCCATCCCCTGTCATCCATTCAAAGCATCTGGCAGTCAGAGGCTGCCTGACCTCTTGGCTAATAGCATTGATGGACATGTCCACCAGGAAATGATCTAATTCTTGTCTGAACCCAGTTATACTTTTGGCCTTCACTAAATCCCCTGGCAAGGAGTTCCGTAGGTTGACTGTGCGTTGTATGAAGAAGTGCTTCCTTCTGTTTGCTTTAAACCTGCTGCCTACTAGACACGTCTTTGAGTGCCACAGAGCCAGTGCTTCTGCTTCCCTCCTACAGCGCCACGTGCAGGAAGGGGTTGGGGCAGGAGGAGCTGTGGATTCCTCTCCAGCTAGCGCTCCAGAGCAGGCTTTGTTCTTTCCTTTGGCCGGAATCGGTCCCAGCTCCACTTCTGAGTTTAGCTAGGCAGGTTCTCACTACTTAGCCCCAAACGTGCATGTCGGGGCAGAGCTGTATTGTTTTGTGAGTTCAGGCCTGTGAATTCTCTGCCTTGCATTAAGGAAGAATGATAGAAGGCATTTGGGGTGAAACTGAGCATTACAGACTATGATCTGTGGCCACGAAACCAAGGCAGACCGGCCAAAGCTTACAGTGTCCACAGCGAGCAGGCAGAAATCCCTGAACCCCTCGCTGCTCTGCCTCGCAGAAAGAACTTACCTGGCAGGTGTGCGGGGCCAGGTGTGTGCAGGGACCGGGCGCTCTCCTTCTCGACCTGTAGCGCTATGGCACTATCAAGAGGCCAGTTCATTTTATGTCTTTAAAGCATTTTCCCTCTGTCTTCCTGGTGCTATTTTATTAAATCTTGCAGTGCATGCTTATCAGGATCACTGATGTAGGCCGTGTGTGCACAGCAGTGTGTGTGTCTCTCTTATTAGTATGTGTGCATGTGTGCGCACGCAGGTTATATGTGTGTGTGTATGTGTGTGCGTGTGCAGGTTATGTGTGTGTGTGCGTGCAGGTTATATGTGTGCGTGTGCGTGCAGGTTATGTGTGTGTGCGCGCATGTGCAGGTGGTGTGTGTGTGTACGCGTGTGTGCTTGTGCAGGTTATATGTGTGTGTGTGTGCATGTGTGCAGGTTATGTGTGCGTGTGTGTGTGTGTGCAGGTTATGGGTGTGTGTGCATGTGTGCGCGTGCAGGTTGTGTGTGTGTGTGTGCGCGCGCGTGCAGGTTATGTGTGTGTCCATGTGTGTGCAGGTTATGGGTGTGTGTGTCTGTGTCTATGTGCGTGCAGGTCTGCACATATGCAGGTAATTTATGCACATGCATGTGTGTGCACATGCAGGTCACTTACACGTGTACATATGTGCGTGTGCAAGTCATGTCCGTGTGTGTGTGTGTGCATCTGTGTGTGTGTGTGTGTGCATGTGCAGGTTATATGTGTGTGTGCATGTGTAGGTTATATGTGTGTGTGTGCGTGCGTGCAGGTTTGTGTGTGTGTGTGTGTGTGTGTGCGTGCATGCAGGTTATGGGTGTGTGTGCATGTGTGCGCGTGCAGGTTGTGTGTGTGTGCAGGTTATGGGTGGGTGTGTCTGTGTCTGTGTGCGTGCAGGTCGTGTATGCACGTATGCAGGTCATGTATGCACATGGATGTGTGCGTGTGCAGATCACTTACATGTGTGCATATGTGTGTGTGCAAGTCATGTCTGTGTGTGTGTGTGTGCACACCCTTTGTTGAATCCATAAGGTTTAAAATCTTGTGACAATCCAGTTTCCTGTGACAGGGAACCAGGAGATACACCTGTTTCACACTGAATGGATCCGTCATGCACCGGTGAATGTGCTGCCAGCTGCACTGCATGGCTCAGAACCAGGGGTTCTGGGGCCTATGATTAAGGCTAAGATGTTGTCATGGTTATTTTTAGTAAAAATCAGGGACAGGTCACAGGCAATAAACAAAACTTCACAGAAGCTGTGACCTGTCTGTGAGTTTTGCTGCTGTGGCTCCATGGTCCTCTTCCCCCCCCCCACCCCACCCCCACCCCGGCCACCCGTGGTGTCTGGCAGCTGCAGGGTGACCATATTTCCCAAAGAGAAAATGGGACACCCCCAGCCACTCGCCCGAGGTGAGTCTGTCGCCCATTGTTGGAACCCTGAGGAGGGCCCCCTGAGGAGTCTGTCGCCTGTCGCTGGAACCCTGCCATGGCCCCACTGGCTGCCAGCTCCAGAATCCCGCAGCCCCTGGGCTGAAGCAGAGAATGTCAGGGAGGTCTCTGGTAGCCTTACCTGTGATCCAACAAAGGTGCTGGCCTAGGAAAGGCGGCCGCAGCGTATGCCCAGTGGGAGGAACTAGGCTGGCGTAATTGTTTGTTCTCTGACTGACAGGTGTCCCTGGGGCTGGGATCACAGGCTTCGGGGCCTCCCAGGTGTGCAGCTCCCAGAGACGCTAAATTCTGTGGGCCAGAAACTCTGGAGAGGCAGGACGTGCCCCTGGGCTCTGCCCAAGTGTGCTGGCAGCATGGGGAAGAGAGGGGCTTTGCAAGGCTTCCCAGAGCTGGTGGGCGGTCTGGTGCTGCAGGGCTCCAATGCTCTCCCCTGGCACAGCATTGTCCCTGCTCCCAAGCTCCCCTCTGGAGCACAGAGAGCCCTGGCCAGGGCCCAGCCCTCATGGCTGCAGACAGGCATCCAGGATGGCAAGTAGCAAGGTATGACTCATCCCTTCCCCCTTCAGCAAGGGCTGAGGGCATCCCTGACCCTCCGGAGCTGCCCTCCCTGGCGGTGGCTCTGGTGGAGCATGGTTGGCTGCAGGCCAGTCCCGGGTTAGGAGTCAGACCATGGGCTATGCAAGCAAGAGGGAGAGGGATAGCTCAGTGGTTTGAGCACTGGCCTGCTAAACCCAGGGTTGTGAGTTTCAATCCTTGAGGGGGCTGTTTAGGAATCTGGGGCAAAAATCTGTTTGGGGATTGGTCCTGCTTTGAGCAGGGGGTTGGACTAGATGATCTCCTGAGGTCCCTTCCAACCCTGATATTCTAAGAGGGGCTGCGAGGGCAGAGCTGGGCACTGCAGGGTGGAACTGGCCCAGGCCTGGCTTCTCCCTGTGCAGCATGGCATGGCTGGGGTGATCAGTGTGCCCATCAGCCACTCTGGCTGTGAGCCCTTCACTCAGCACATGGCACTGACACCCTAGGGCCAGCGCACTCCGTGCAGGAGCCCCAGCGACTCAACCCTTCCCCAGCGTGGCCCAGGCTCCCTCCCACCCTATCCCACTTGCCAGAACACCCTCCCTGGCCTGCTGTCTGTCAGTGACTCAACCCCTTGTCTCACCTCCTGCCCTGGGGACTGGCGGGCTGAGACTTGTCTGCATTTCCCTGGGCTGGGAAAGACCCAGGGCAGGGACTGGCAGGGGGCTAGAGGTTTGGCACAGTGGGGGGCCACCCTGTGGTTTGTCACCTGCTCCTCTCTCCTCCCTTGCACCCTGGCTCACAGAAGGCCTTGTCCTGGCCAGGGCTGGCACTGGCCTGAAGGCTCTTACAGCAGGCGAGGCCTTGGTGCCAGGCGGGGGTGACGTGCTGGGGGGCAAGCACTGTGTCCCCAGATGGGGGAGGCAGGATTCTCCCTACAGTCCAGTCTCCAGGCCCTGGCCCAGCTCGCATTACCTACCCCTTTGCCGCAGGCCATGCTATCCTGGATCCCCGGCTAGTACCAGACCCAGCCTGGCTAGCTCCCTTCCCCCAGAAGCCCCGTCCCTAAGGGCATGCCAGCAGGAGTCTGCTCCCTGGCACAGTGCCGGGGCCGGGCAGCGGCTCTGCAGGGTGCAGTACCTCCCACTGGGGGGCCCTCCTGGAGGAGCCAGCACACAGGGTGACCCGAGTCTCTGCACTGCCAGAGGCTCTGTCCAGAGGAGCTAGAGGGAGCATGGGTGGGGCTCCCGGCCTACAGGCCACTGCCCTCCTCTTTCTCCCTTCCCCGTGTGATGCTTCCACAGGCCACTCTTTGCTTCTGGGAGGCCACAAACTTCTGGGGTGCTGCCCTGTCCACTGGCTCCGCTGTTCCCAGAGGGGCTGGCCTTGGGTGCCTGTTGCCAGCAGCGAACAGCTGCTCTCACTGGCTGATGGAGCCTTTGCTTGGCAGGTAACATCACTGGAGCTGGGCTGTTGGGGGTCAGCCCACACTAGAGGCTCGTAGGGCCTGGTTCCTCCCCACATGGCCGTGTGTGCCCATGTTTCCCCCAGAGCAGCCAGACTTGCACACATCTCTCCAGGGCCTGGTGCAGTGCTTCACTTAGCATGGACAGCCCTGCATGCACATGTGCGCTGAGCGTGTGCATACTATACACGTGTGTGTGTACACATGGGGGGGTGCATGCGTATGTGTGTGTGTCTGCATGGTGCACAGGTTCACATTAATGTCCCAGGGCCTTCTCATGCGCACTCCCCAGAGCACCTGTCCTGCTCCATGACCGGCCCTGTGGGGAGGAGGTTGCTGGGCCAATTCCTAGAGCTCCTGGCCTCAGGGCTGGGTATCGGCGGTGGCGAGGGATGGCAGGATGCATGGCTACGGAGTGCCGGACCGGGATGCCAGTCTTGGGGAATGTCGCCTGCTGTGGTCCCAGGGGAAGGGGGTCCCGGCCCTCAGGCCCCTCGGTCCTATCCAAAGCAGCCCCCAAACAGTGTCAATGAAGGGATGTTCCTTTCTTAGCATCTCAGAGCCAGGAGACTCCACTGCCGCCTTGAGGGCTCCCATCTGTCCAGCTCTCAGCACCTTGGGCCCCCTACACTGTCATGGAGCCATGAGCCACAGGCTTGGGGCCTCCCCCACCCCTATCACCCAGCCGGGGGATGCTAAGGTTTGCTGAATGCTGATGGTGTGAATTTCCCACCTGTTCTGTGCCACAGGGGCTAGTGGCAAACCTCTCAAGCCATGTAACTGGCCCAGCTCCACTGGTTTCAGCCTCTCCCAGCAGGGGACACTGTAGGGAGCAGGGCAGGAGCGCTGGCTGTAGGGAGCGCCTGGCTCCGAGCAGGGGCAGTCTCAGTGTCCCTACGGAGTTACTCGGGGAGCCTTTGCCCTGCAGGTTATGGGCCGGGCACCCGTCCCGTCGTTTGAGGGCCATCCCTTGACCACTGGAACATTACGTTGATGCAGGTGGTAACTGCACTGGACACCTGAGGGCAGGGCAGTAGAAATGTTCACTTGAGAGAGAAATCCAGATGGTGCTCAAAAAAATGGTGCGTCCCTAAAATGGCCCTTGAAATACAGTCTTGTCCCGTATTTCCGATGTGCTTTCCCCATACTACCATCCAACAAAGGTAGGCAGCCTATGCCAGGGCTGCAGCTACGGCAATCAATGAGGAACTGGGTTCTCCCTGGCCCAGCTGTCAGCTCACACCAGGGCCAGCCCCGTGCGCAGGGCTAGTGCCTCTCACCTGGCCATGGGGAGCAGCTTGACCTGGGCTGCCTGCACTTAAGGCCCTCTGAGCTGTGACCTTAGTCTCAGGGGATTGTCACTGGGCCCCGTGTCAGTCTGGGGGGCTGTGAGCCCAGCCCTGCCTTGTCATGCTGCTTTGTATTCTGGCTCTGTCCATGGATCTGGGGGTCCCAGTCCCTGGTTGCCCACCTGGCTGGTCCCAGGGCAAGCAGCTGTTCCAGGCAGCTTTCCCCGTCAGAGGCTGCAGGGTGACGGCATGTGCCACGTGCAGCCACCTCTCCCTGCCCATCCCCTCAGTATCCAGGCATGGTGGCCATGCTGCTGCAGACAGGTACGAGCCTCCCCAGCACGTGCCCTCCCCTGTGCAGCTGGTTGTGAAATGTGGACACAGGAGGGGCCAGCCCCGCTGGGTGGAGCCGTAATTAGATGAGGGAAACGTTTTCGCTGCGCCCAGCTGGGCTGTGGCTGGACTGCAGGGAGCCCCCGGCTGCTTAGGCTGACCCCCCCCCCACTCTCAATGTGGCGCCTGTTTCCAGACGCTGGCATCTCTTGGTGCAGAGCAGCCCTGGGGGAGAGGGGCTGCACCAAGTGACGCCAGCAGCAATCACCAGGGCCCAGTTCCCCTGGCCAGTCCCCAAAGCCCTTGGCCTGGGCTGATCAGCCGGCTGTGCCTTGCCCTTTGCAGCGGGGGGGGGGGGGCGACCAGGAGCAGCATCTCTAGACTTAGGGCCTCCCATCAGGCATCAGTGTAGGAAACAGGGCAGGAGCGCTGGCTGGGGGGGAAGGGGGGGGGGGCTCCTGGCTACTCCAGCCCAGCTTCTCCCAGCACGGGGTGCTGTGGGGAGTGGGGCAGGACTACTGGCTGTGGGGCGGGGGGCTCCTGGCTATGCCAGTCCAGCCTCTCCCAGCACGGGGGCACTGTGGGGGGAGGTGGTAGGGATGTTGTAACACTGGCGCTGTTAGTGACTGACTGTGTTTGCTGTTGTAGGGTTCGGTGTTGGGGGCCTGCAGCCAGGTGAGTGAATGGGGCTGTGGGAGGAGCTCATGCTGTGCCCGCCTGTGGCTATGCCGGGCATTGCCTAGGAAATGCCTTAGCCTCCCTGGGCTGGGATGCTGGTGCCAGTGGTGCCTTCAGCATGGCCCTGCTCTTTAGCTGCTCCCCAGGCAGGGTCCAGGTGTGACGAAGTGGGAATGTTCTTAATGTTTTCTCTGAATACTGTGTGGGTGCCTCAGTTTCCCCTATGTATTTCTTAAGTACCTAGGTGGTGGGATAAGGTGGTTTGATGGTTGCAGAGCCTTAGAGGGCCAGTGTGATGGTGTCTACACAGTAAATGGCCGACACCCTGTCTCCTGGCAACTGATGGCCTGGGCCCCTCCCCTCCAAAGGTGCCAACTGAAGGTGTTGGAGAACAAAGAGATCAGGTGGCTTCTTGGCCCGGGAAAGAGACAAAGGCCAGAGGAGGGGCTGGAGAGTTTCAGTTTGGAGCTGGCTGGGGAGATGGAGGGGGGCCAGACGGGGCTCTGGCCTCCCTACCCCCAAGATGCACCTGACTGAGGGGTCCTGTTTTCTATACCTACAAGCTCTGTTTTGGACTGTGTTCCTGTCGTCTAATAAACCTTCAGTTTTACAGGCTGGCTGAGAGTCATGTCTGACTACGGAGTTGGGTGCAGGGTCCTCTGGCTTCCCCAGGAGCCCCGCCTGTGCGGACTCGCTGTGGGAAGCGCACGGAGGGGAAGGGGATGCTGAATGCTCCGAGGTCAGACCCAGGAAGGTGGAAGCTGTGTAAGCGTCTTGCCCTGGAGACAGTCTGCTCAGAGAGAGGAGGCTTCCCCCAGAGTCCTGACTGGCTTCATATGGAGCAGTTGCAGAGCATTGCTCGGGGACCCCGTGACACCAGGCAGGCTAGTGCCCCGGACAAGCTGCCAGGAACTATGGGTGATGTGTCCTGGGCACCAGGGAACCGAACTTCTCTTTAGCCAGCCATGGGTTCCCACAGCCCAGCACTGGGGATGGGGCCAGGCATTCACAGCCATTGCTGCTCAGGTGGGGCTGAGCCTTGATCAGATGAGGACTGGACCCCGGGGGCTCATCTTCCTGCCCAGGGTGGGGCCAGGAGAGCTGCGACCCAAGGTGGTGCCAGGCCATGCTCTGGGTCTCCTCTGGCACAGTCTCTGGCACTGCCAGGCAGCCCCCAGGAGGGCAGGTGTTACTGTGACCTGCAGGCCCAGTGTATGCTGTGGGGTACATGGCACGACCCCCCTCAAGCCAGGCCAGTGGCTCACCCCAGCTTCACACGCTGTCATTTTGTTCTAGGGGCTGGAGTTCCTGGCTTCGGTTTGTCTCCCATTTACCCAGGTATATTTGGCGGCTCAGTTCCTATCTCCTAGCAGTCAGGCCGTGAGCCCGGCCTAGTGCCCCATCCCCCTGCATGGGCCCCTTGGCCACACCTGGGGTCCCAGCATAGCTCCGCCACATTGTGCTGCAGTCAGGCCAACATCGACGGGAAGGGCCTGTGCCCAGGGGGCTGTGTTCAATGGCTGGGGCCCAGGAGGGAGGCCTATGCCCAGGGGGCTGTGCCCGCTGGCTGGGCCCTGGTCTATAGTGGCCTCCATGCCATAGACACTCGGTCTGCCTGGGAGACTTATTGAGCCGGTGGGGCTGGGGCAGTCCTCGGGGGATGGCGCCAGGTCCCCGCGAGAGGCCCCAGTTCAGCGCAGCAGTGTCTGAAGGAGGGGTGAGGTACTGACAGGGCTGGCACTGAGGAGTCTGCTTTCTTCCAGGTGGACTCGCTGGCCAGCTGGGATACGGCGGTGAGTGGGTGCCCATGCCAGCCAGGGCTGGGCTAGGCAGGACTCACTGATGCCCGGAGAACCAGCCCTCTCCCTGGGGGGGGCCCCAGAGCCTGCTCTCCACAGCCCTTAGCTGGGGCAGTTCTCCCAGCTCCTGAGGACGATGCCAGGCAGCCGCCAGTGTGAGGGGGGGTGGGCACCGTGCCTGGGATGGGCGTGCGGCCTGTGAGCACAGAGCCATTTGCTCTCCCCTAGGGCTCACTGCAGCACAGTGGTTTCTGCTCAGGCCTCACCTTCCCTGGGGCTGCCCCAGGGTAACAGGGGATGTGGTGAGAGCAACCCATTCCCATTTCCTTAGGTACAGTACCTGTGGCCTGGGACATGGACCCGAGACAGGTCCCCGCGCCAGCCTGGCCCTGCCCCAGGTGCATGCAGCCCAAACCAGCAGACGCAGGCTGGGCCTCTCCTCATGTTATATATGGGGACCCTGCAGCCCCTTCCCAAAGCCTGGATTCCCCAGTGCTCTGCAGCCGAGGGGCCAGATTCCGCAAGGGCCGCGTGCGCCCATTGGAAACCCAGGCCCAGAGTGAATTGCCCTGGGTGGCAGTGCCAGGGAAGGGAGTCCTCATCTTCTGAGTGCCCATGCAGTGCCTTAGCTCCCAAATCCGCCCTCCTCAGCAGCACCCCCACAGCAGCCAAGTGGGGTGGCTCCAGCAGGTCCAGACTCCCCTGCTTTGTCACTAGCACACAGCACTTCCAGTGGGCAAGCCAGGCTCCAGTGCTGGGCTCCTCTACCCCTACCCCCCGTGCCTTCTGCCACCTGAGCAAGGGTGCCTTCTGCAGCCAGGTACTCTGCCTAAGTCCTTGGCCCTGCACACAGCCTGGTGCACACAGCAGGGGCGGGCACGTCTCTGTGCGTTGCAGCTGCAGCCAGGCCTTGGGGCAAAGGGGTTCGATCGCATTGCTGAGCTGGTCGATAGGGAGCCGCTCTCTGCTGCCTTTGGGAACTGGCATCCTGGATGAGCTGCCAACAGCCCCTGTTGCTCCCACGAAGTGCCCCTTGTGAGAGGTGCTGGGGAGAGGGAACCCATGAGGCCCACCGCCCATCCTCAGACTCCCAGGGACTGTGGCTGGGAGAGCGGGGAACCGGTGGCCCATGCTCCCTGCTGCCCACGGATGGGCTGCGCACTCCCTGGGCCTGTGCTGATGGGTTGTTTTCTCTGCCTCTCCACAGGAAAACCTCTCAAGACGTATGGTGGGGCCCTGGGAGCCCTGGGATACAGAGGTAGGTGCCCCCCACAGGGACTGTGCCAGACAGAGCAAGGCACACACCGGGGGAGCAGGATGGGAAAGCCCCACTGGCCGTTTGCACTTGGAAGGAGGAAGCCACGTGACTCCTCATCCTGGGGCTCCCCCAGCCTCGTCACTTCGTGCAGCCTGGTTCTGCTGCGCTGGCCGCTCCAGGTGCCAGCCGAAGTGCCCATGCTCAGGCTCGGCTGCTGTGTCCACCTGGCCATAGCCTTGGTGCTTGGTTCGGCATGCCCCACTGCCGGGGCTCACCCAGGCCACTCCCACTTTGTCTCCCCACATTGCAGCTGTGCCCACAGGGCAGCATTGGCACTGCGAGTGCTGGCCTGCCTCCGGCACAGCGACAAACCCTTCATTCATAGCATGTTCGCTGCCTCACACAGCGGCACATGTGTCAGCCTGGGGTGAGCCCATGCCCCCCGCAGCGTGGCGCCTGGCCTGGGGCACATCACGCCGCTCACCCCAGCTGGCAGCAGGGGGCCTGTTGGCCTATGCCATCACCACTAGGTGGCAGCCTCGCGAACCACATGCCACCGCCCCTGGCTGTGGGGAGCCCCGGGGCTCGGAGCGCTGGCACTGACCCCCTCCTTTGTCCCCTGCCAGGTGGCGTGGGCTGTGCGCAAGGGAAGTACTGTGGCAGGAAGCGGAAGTAACCCAGCCAGGCTGCTACCATTAACCTCATGAACTTTGGTGCTACTGCATGGTCTAGAATGTAAACCCTGAGTAAAGCAGTGATCCCGCCCCCCTCCCCCGCTCCCCCGCCGGCCCCCCGGAGGGAATTCCACGGCCCCTGACGCCCCCTTCGCTCCGGCCCGGGGGTCCCCACCCTCTCTCCAGCGGGAAGCACAGAACAAACTGCGGGAAACGCCGTTCCCACTGGTGCTAAAGCTCCCTGCGGGGAGAGCCGGGCAGGCCTCCGTGGGGCGGGTGCTTCTCTGGGCAGGGCAGGACAGCACCCTCCCCGGGGGCCCTGGGGGAGGAAGAGATGGGGGCTGGTTTCCAAGAGAACAGCGAGGGGCTGGGCTCCATCTGCCGCCAGCACATGGGCGAATGGCCCGTCAGCAGCGCCCAGCCCCAGCACATCCCAGCTGCTCCCAAGACTCCGTCCAGCTGGCATTGGTGCCATGTGCCAGGGACTTCTTAGCAGCTAGCCAGCCTTGTGTCTGTCAGCCCCCTCCATGCCTGCCCGCCCCAGGGCCCACGCTGCAGGGTGCCACGGGATGGGGTTCGTGGGCTCCATGCAGGCGGGCAGGGGAATGCCTCCTGCTCAGACACTCATGCCAGTGGGGCCAGTAGGGGCTCGTGGGTGGGTTAAATTCACCCAGAGTTCTTTGCGGCAGGGCCATCTGATTGGCTGACCCATCCTTGCACTGGAGGACACAGCCCTCCCGGTGCGTGGGGAGGGGTTGGCACTATCAGCAGAGCCAAGTCACTAACACTGATGGGATTAGCCATGCGCCCGCCCTCACTCAGCAGTACTGTACGGGCAGCCAGCGCCAGCCCAGCCCTGCCGTGTCTCCGAGGCCCCGCTGGGACCTGCCCTTCCTCTTGCCCTGGAGGCCCGTGTGTTCCTGAGAGCTGTCGGCCGGAAGGAATCGCACCTCTCCATGTTACTCACTTGGTATAGCTCGGGTGGGACATGTTATAAAGAGGGAAAGTAACTGCTTCCAAACGACTAATAAACAATGACTTCTAAAGGACTGCGGCCTCCTGCTCCTTCCGCGCTGCTTCTCCAGACCCAGAGGTGGGGATCCACCCCGGCGATCTGCCCCCCACAGGGATCCGGCTTCCCCCCCCCATGGTTCTGCCCTGCACCCCAGGATCCTCACAGTCTCCCACCCCCCGGGGATCCTCCCTGCCCACCTGGGGATCTGCCCCACCCAGTTCCTCACTGCACCTGCCTGGGACTCATCCCATTTCTCCAGCTCCACTGCCTGCCTGCAGCACCTGAGCCCCTGCTGCCTCCTGCTGCCGGTACCGGCCATGTACTGTGCCCATTTCACAGGCGGCTACACTCACACCCCCCCGTTGCCAGCTAGATTCCCTCCCGGGGCTCTACTCCTGTGCTCTTGCTGCTGGCACTCACAGGGCACTACTGCGAAGAAGCTCACAGCGCTGATGGCCCTGCTGGGACTGAATCACAGTGAAGTGGTGCTATGTTCGTGTTAGATTGCTGGCCTGGCAGAGTCTGTCTCTGCCTGGGTTTCTCTGGACAGGCAGGGAGTGACTGGACTAGCAGGTGTGTACACCCTGCTCAAGCAGGGGCTGGGGCGCCCACACAGGGTCAACCCCCTGCCCCCCAGCCCAGCTCCAGTGGGAGCCCGGCTATAGTTCCCTGAAGAAGGGGGTTTAGGTGCAGCAATAACGGGGCTGTGTGCTGAGACACGGAACCAAAGTCATCTCCAGAGCACTAAGGCCAGCAAAGCGATGCCAGGATCAGCGCAGCCCGTAGCTAGAGTTGCCAGGCGTTCAGTTTTCTACCAGAAGGAACCCTGGTGGCTCCGGTCGGCACCGCTGACTGGGCTGCTAAAAGTCCCACTCGGCAGCGCAGCAGGCTAAGGCAGGCTCCCTGCCTGCCCTGGCTCTGTGCGGTTCCCAGAAGCAGCTGGCATGTCCGGCTCCTAGGAGCAGAGGCGACCACGGGGGCTCCGCACGCTGCCCCTGCCCTGAGCACCGACTCCACAGCTCCCAGAGAACCACGTCCAATGGGACCTGTGGAGGTGGTGCCTGCAGGCACGGGCAGCACGCAGAGCCCCCGGTCCCTCCGCCTAGGAGCCGGACATGCCGGCCACTTCCAGAAGCCACCTGAAGTAAGCGCTGCATGGCCGGAGCCCGCACTCCACACCCCCTCCCACACCAAAACTTCCTTCCAGAGCCGACAGCCCAACCCCCTGCCCCAGCCCGGAGCCCCTTCCCACACCCAAACTCCCTCCCAGAGCCCACACCCCCTCCCGCACTCCAAACCCCTTGGCCCCAGCCCAGACCCCCCTCCTGCACCCAAGCCCATCATTCCCAGCCCCACTCCAGAGCCCACAACCCTAGTCGGAGCCCTCATGCCCCCTGCACCCCAACCCCTTGCCCCAGCCTGGAGCCGCCTTCTTCACCTGAACCCCTCATTTCTGGTCTCACCCCAGAGCCCACACCCCCAGCCGGAGCCCTCACCCCCTCCCGCACCCCAACCCCCTGTCCCAGCCTGGTGAAAATGAACGAGGGTGGGGGAGAGCGAGCAACGGAGGGACAGGGGATAGAGTGAGTGGAAGGCGGGGGCCTCAGGGAAAGGAAGGGGCAGGGACCAGGCAAGGGTGTTAGGATTTCTGCAATCCCGACCCATAGCTGGCGTGCATAGTGCTGGGGCCCCAACGCAGGAGTGCGTGGCCAGACTGAAGAGCAGCGAGACTCCGACTGAGGCTCACGGGCTGCAAACAACTATTCAATGCTCCTTGCAGCACGTGGCTTTAAAATGCTGGGTGATTTAATTATTAACCAATCTAAGTCAGTAACCAATCAGGATGCTTTTACTATGTAATTAACCAATTGCAGTTGATAAATAATGCTTGGTCAGTCATTTTGCTGTGAGAATAATAGATGTGGAAAAATTGGAAAGAGTCCAACGGAGGGCAACAAAAATGATTAGGGGTCTGGAGCAAATGACTTATGAGGAGAGGCTGAGGGAACTGGGATTGTTTAGTCTCCAGAAGAGAAGAATGAGGGGGGATTTGATAGCAGCCTTTAACTACCTGAAGGGGGGTTCCAAAGAGGATGGAGCTCGGCTGTTCTCAGTGGTGGCAGATGACAGAACAAGGAGCAATGGTCTCAAGTTGCGGTGGGAGAGGTCCAGGTTGGATATTAGGAAAAACTATTTCACTAGGAGGGTGGTGAAACACTGGAATGCGTTACCTAGGGAGGTGGTGGAGTCTCCTTCCTTAGAGGTTTTTAAGTCCCAGCTTGACAAAGCTCTGGCTGGGATGATTTAGTTGGGAATTGGTCCTGCTTTGAGCAGGGGGTTGGATTAGATGACCTCTTGAGGTCCCTTCCAACCCTGATATTCTATGATTCTATGATATAAAGCACTAGTAAATGAGCCAATGAAGTCACACAACTGTGGCGCTTCTCGGCAATGTCGAGTGCTAATTGGGTTCCTGAACCACTGGGGTCTGAGTATCACAGATGGAGAGTCATCAATCCCAAAGCCAGAAGGGACCACTGTCATCTCCTAGTGTGACCTCCTGTACAGCACAGGCCAGAGACCTGCCCCATCTTGAGTCAAAAATTGCTAGTGATGGAGAATCCACCCCAGCCCTTGGTGAATTGTTCCAATGGGTAATTACTCTTAGCTGGTAAAAACGTACAGCTCATTTCCAGTCTGAATCTGTCTCGTTCTGGGGTTCTCAAACTTCATTGCACCATGGCCCCCTCCTGACAACAAAAATGACTACACATAGATGGGGTGGGATAGCTCAGTGGTTTGAGCATTGGCTTGCTAAACCCCGGGTTGTGAGTTTAATCCTTGAGGGGGCCATTTAGGGATCTGGGGCAAAAATCTGTCTGGGGATTGGTCCAGCTTTGAGGAGGGCGTCAGACTAGATACCTCCTGAGGTTCCTTCCAACCCTGATATTCTATAGAAGTTTCAGTGCACAAGCGACCAGGGAGCTTTTGCTGCTAACAGGGAGTTTCGCAAGGGAGTTTGGAAGGGGAGTGGGAAGTGAGTGGGGGTCCCTTTATTTCCCTTAAACCCTATAAACCAAACTACATTCAAAACCTTTTGCTTAAACAACCCTTTCATTAACTAGGAGACAATGCAGGCAGAAGCCCAGCTGCAGAGTGGGGGCTATCCAGTTTATTGCACTGAGTGCAGCATGTATGATTACCTGCCCCATGGGCGGGTGGCATATGTGTGCATTCGGTGCAAGGAGCTCCAGGCCCTCAGAGACCACGTACGGACTTTGGAGGCAAGGGTAGCGGAACTGGAGGAGCTAAGGGAGGCAGAGAGGTATGTTGATGAGGCTTTCTGGGACACTGTAGAATTGTCCCACCTCCGGTCAGACAGCCCCTGTGCTGTTGAGGAGGATGAAAGGCCCAGGGAAGCAGAGCAGTCAGTGGGAGCAGAGGGAAACCTTCCCATAGTTAGGACCCTCCTTCCAGACGGTGCTGGGGTTACCTCTCGCACTGAGGTTACCTCTCTGAGGGAGGGAACTCCAGTTGCTAGGAAAAGGCAGGCGTTAGTAATGGGAGATTCGATCATTAGAAACGTAGATAGCTGGGTTTGAGATGACCGGGAGAACCGCATGGTGACTTGCCTGCCTGATACGAAGGTTACAGATCTCTCGAGGCATCTAGACAGACTTATGTGTAGTGCTGGGGAGGAGCCGGTGGTCGTGGTACATGTAGGTACCAATGACATAGAGAAGGGTAGGAGAGAGGTCCTGGAGGCCAAAGTTAGGCTGCTAGGGGAGAGACTGAAATCCAGGACCTCTATGGTGGCATTCTCAGAAATGCTCCCAGTTCCACGCGCAGGGCCAGGTAGGCAGGCAGAGCTTCAGAGTCTCAATGCGTGGATGAGACGATGGTGTAGAGAGGAGGGGTTTACATTCATTAGGAACTGGGGAAACTTCTGGAATGGGGGGAGCCTATACAGGAGAGATGGGCTCCACCTAAACCAAAGTGGAACCAGACTGCTGGCACTAAACATTACAAAGGTTGTAGAGCAGTTTTTAAACTAGGAGATGGGGGAAAGCCGACTGCTGCAGAGGAGCATGTGGATCGGACAGAGACTTCTCTTAGGGGAGAGTCTAATGATAGAGAATCTCCAGGTTACAGTCAGGAGCAGAGGATGGAGGAGGATAATGAACATTCACA